TTCCTGTTATGTGCCATAGATCATAGTTCTGCAATGTACCATAATTCCTACTATGTGCCAGTAATCTTCATAGATGTTTATTTTCCAGAAATGAGTAAAATAAAGGAAAATCTGTCACTTTACAGAGTACACCTTGTCACGGTCAAGCAACACCATATTAAAAGTGAATAATATATATATAGAGTACACCTTGTCACGGTCAAGCAACACCATATTAAAAGTGAATAATAATAATATATATATATGTTAAATAAAGCAAAGGATTAATATTATTTAATACAAAGAAGTAGAGACACATCTAATTTTTGAGATCAGAACCTTGTTAGTCAAAAGATAGTTTTAGGGAAAGAGCCGAAGGAGTATTAGGCATGAGTAGTGAAGATGTCTGGGTGAAGAACTGAAGAAGGAAAAATACTGGAGACAAGTCTCAGCAGAAGTTGGTTGCCAGTGTGTGACAAGATTACAAATATTCAGCCATAAGAAATTAGCCAGAGGAGGATGGAAGACAAAGATGAACTACTTATGTCACCGTGTCATTCATGTAGGCTTTATAAGTCTTTAAGCACAATGGTGCTTATGCTGAATGAGATGCAAAGGCAATTGGTAGACACTTCTTGGAGCAGAGGAGCAGGTTCTGATCCAAAGGGTTGCCTTGGCTGCTGTAATGACAGGTACTGAAGGGGTTTGAGGCCCAAGTAGGATACTCAACTAGAAGCCAATTGGGATGCAAGTGGAAAGGATGATGGTCATGCCTGGGTGGTAATTGTGGAGAGGTGTGGTGTGGCTGGGTTAGAAGCTCATGCTCTGGCTTGGGTGCATTCAATTGAGCTCTTTCATCCAGGCAGGTATCCTTAACGGACAAAGGAGACATTCTTGTTTGGAGGGTAGGGGAAGGGAAATTTAATACATCCCCCAAATTCCCCTTTCAGTGGTAATTAGATGTGAAAAAACATGAAGAAATTCATCTAGCTGATTAATTCTAAGTACACCTATTGTATTCTGTAGGCCTTAATGGTCTTTGGCACAGTATAAGGCTTACTAGACTATGGCCACATAATTTCCTCTAAATTTTACTAATTTGAAGATTTTTTTAAAGTTGTAAATGGGAAAAAGTGTTTCTGAAATTTGCCTCTGATCTTTATGTAAACAATGTCCTTGTGAAGAAAATAATACCATAATGTGGTAAAACTGTTAAATTCATTTCATGAAAAATACATTTCTGTTCTCTTGGGGGATAGTGATAACAAAGAGCCATAGATTATAACAGTTATGGTCATGTTCATCTAAATCTTGAAATATTCTATTATGGGCTGACAAATGGCAAAGTAGGTTAAGGGACAGCCTGGCAGCCTGATTTCAAACTCACACCGTGAAACAGACTCCCACATGTTGTTGTCTGACCTTCACATGCATATGTGGGGCATGCCATGTGCACCCACACATATTCAGACATACAAACATAAACAAATTAGTATAATAAATGTATAAAAGTTCTAATAGACATTACCACATCCTTAAATATTGTGGCTGTATTATGATTATACTTGAATGAAAATACCTACATGCAACTCACATTTTCCCAAACAAGCCACATTACAGTCCTCATTACTGACATTTACTCTATTATAATTCAGTCTGTCTTAAAGGAAAACTCTTCAGCATAAGCAGAAAAAAGAAACCCTACATTTTGTGACTTAAATATGAATTTCACATGATTTAGAATCAATCAATATATGCACATTAAAAACTCTACAAAATGGAAGCATGAAGAAAATGAAAACAGTTGCAAAGGTATTTATTGAGAAATAGTAAAGATGTACATATTTTTACAAGCTTTTAATATTAATTTACATTTCTTTAAATTATGTAGGCTCCAATAATCTATAACTTTACTAATACATAACAGAAACCCTTGACTTTGACTGTGAGATCCCTACAACACCACCATAATTGGGAGTCAAAATGCAACTTTGGCTCATGATGCTTATGTTTGTGTTGAAAAGAAATACTAAACACCATATTCACTGAGAATGTAGGCTTGTCACAAACAAGTAGGCTTCATTAAAACTTCACAGTAGGGCATGCAGTTGAAGCTATTTTGATCTTAGCTCACCAGACAGTTAGTACCTATTTTTGTGCCCAGATCATACAATCTTAAAATCTTAGTTTTTACCTCTGAATTGGATTGACACATTTCCTCAAGGTTTTATCATCTTAGATGTATGCTATAATATTGTAGTCAGGCCATCTATTTTATTACTCAAGTTACAGGGTCTTGATATTTTTAAGGTGCAATATAAGGCAGTTATTTTTTCTAATATGAATATGTAATAGCTCAAACCCCATCTGAGTTGGAGAACAGTTTTCAAACTCATTTACAATAAGTCACAATATTCTACATAAAAACAGAATTTAGGAACTGCCTATGGGGCTGGTTTTCTTTATTGCTAGTTGGTTGATGTTTTGTTTTGTTTTGTTTTGTTTTGTTTTCAAAAAGAAAGAGGATTTTTCTACCCTAAGGTGGGAAGGGAAGAGTTGTAGTTTGAGCCTGCTCAAAGTCACATGACCAGGCTGGCTTTCTGGCTGCCACCATTGCTGTGTTGGGTAGACAATCTGTTTTCCATTAACCTCACATGTAGGTGTTATCCTAGCTGTCTCCCCTAGACAGATATTTGGGAGGGGGCGGTGCATGAGAAGTATCGTGGAGGGTACCAGCAGGCAGCCCTTGTATTCTTTGGAAAAGGTGAGTCTGTCTGACCCTCAAGTGGAGCTGTGTTTGGAGCCTTGTTCATCAGATTTCAAAATGAATAATAACTTTTGATGCAGGGCCATAAGTCTATCCATGAAGAAACTGGATGTGTGCCCAATGAACTTTGTTTTAGTCATAGTAATAAAAATTTAAGGTTTAAGTGCACAAATGAGTACTGGTAACAAAAAAAAAAGTCGTCTTTAACTTTTAACCATATCAAGCTGAAGACCAGCAGAAGTGTAAAATTTATTATTAATATTATTAGAATTAAAATATTCCAATCATAATCTGCCACTGTAGCATTAGGGGAAAGGGTAGCCAAAAGCCACAATATGTAAAAATTAAGGATCATGTAAGGAGTCTCTATCTTATGCAGAATTATTTCGGTTCTACCCTAAACAGGGCCTTATCATTCTCTAAAGAAACACAGCCCTCTAGAGCATTTGTTGTGATGTTTGAGCAAATCATTGGCCTTACTTAAGCTGCAGAAGTCTCAGGTGGTGACCTATCATGAACCATCCTCAGATGAAGGGCACTGACTAACTGCTGGACTCTAGGGTCCATCTGATGAGATTCAGAAGGTAGAACTTCAGGTGTTCACACCACTAGAATACTTTACTTCTTGAAGTCTTAAATGTCCACAAGGCAAACCATGTCATAGCCAATGAGAGAATCTGTATCATGTTACCAACATGAGCTACACACCAATAAAACAAAAAGACATGCAGACACAATGATGATAGGCTCTCCTGGCAATTGAGTGCAGGCATTGTTCAGCAATCATATTAAGAGGAAACCAATATATCCCTAATATAAATGGGGAGACCCTGGACTAATGTGTTCCAAGGAGAGCTAATCCCTTTTACTGTTGAGATCTGGTGAAGTTGTCAAGATCTAGCTTGTTTGATAATTAATTTATGATAATATTCTATAAAAGAAATTTCATAGACTCAGTTTTATTTCCCCTTGGGAGCTATCTGGTATACCTGCCTTCTATCACTGATGGTACTTGCTTTTGCAATGGCATGTAAGACAAATGTACTTCGTTGTGTCTTCTCAGTGTGCATTTAAAACTATATCCACAGCATATTCTAAAAATGACTTGAATAATATTTGCTAAAGATTTGCACCATAATATCCTCATCTAAGCAATTTATATATAACCAGAATCTTAAAACTAAAATTGGGGAAATTGACATGAATATGGCTCTTAGTTTTCTTCCAGAAAACTGTAAGAAAGGATACTTGAGACTCCAACATATATTTCACTTTCTGAACAAAGAACCCACTGTTTCCCAAACCTTTTGCTTATGATTGGATGTTCAGATAGCTGACTCTTACTGATTACTGGAATCATTCAGAACCCATGGCTGTATTATTATTGTTTGTTTCTCATTCTAAAAAATCCTCAGTTTGTTTTTGATTCAGTATTAAACTGATAGCTTAAAAATTTTAAATTTGGTCATGCGAAGAATTATTACAAAGGCTTTTGATTTGTTTGTAGGTTTGTTTTTTGTTTGTTTGCTTTTGTCTTTCATTATCTACAGAGACTTTAACCAAAGTTACACTGTAACACACAAATGCTGTCTTGTCTTTAAGGCACAACACATCAGTATGAACATTCTCTCTGCCAAACTTAAAAAAGAGACAATATTATATTCCCACTTCCCCAGCCCACTTCCCGCCCCGACAAATAAAAGAAAAATTGCATCCACTTTCAGATTCAGCTGCTAATAAAGTCACAGTAAATTATTTCCATCAAAATTTACACAAATTACAGGTCTAGATAGGACTGTCGTTATACAGTCTGAGTGCATTCAGATTCAGATTTCTGGGCTAGGTAGGCTAAAAGTCAGATTCAAACCTCAGGGTTGAGAAGAGCTCCCATTTTGAGGAATGTTTTCGACCACCTTGTCAGAGGCAGAATAGGTGCTGTGGTTCAGGAGGGTTCGAGTTCATTACTAAAATTCCAGTTAGGAATCATCTGGTGTATGTCAGCAACCTCCACAGATTTTTTTTAAACCATGAAAGTATTGTAAAGATAATAAGACCATAGAGTTTCCTTGCTGTAGCACTAAAGTTTAATCCCATTCAGCAACCTGAATTCTTCACTCTGGAGTTTTCATTCCAAGTTTGATTTCATCCTTTAAGACCATTTATGTGTGTAGAAGAAGCCAGCGGCATTGGATCACACATAAAAATTCAGTGTACTTGAAATATAAAAAAATGGATCCCCAGCTAGAGAATACAGTTACAAATACTCTAATTCCAGTGCTTGATGTAGAGCCAAGAGGTCCGAGTGGCTTGATATCCTCCAAAAGGGCATGTTGTGCTGTGTAGGCAAGACAAGAAGAGAGGAGAGAGGGAGAGGGTAGGAATGAAGAATGGAGAGAGTTCATAACCATCATCCCATGGAGACAGCAGCATGCACCAGGATGTGGTGCTCATCCAAATTCAAGGGAGGGGGTTTAATAGAGGGGTAGCCACAGGTGAAGGTCTGCTAGTACCAATGTGGAATTTCTAAGGAACCAAGAAATAGATCTGAACTGGACTTTAGCATATAACAGCCAATACTGAGTTTTCTGCATGGTTTACTCTATGCTCTGTAAATTAGCATTACCAAGGTCAACATTGGAGAAAGCAAGATGGCATAGAAATCCTGTGTGGATGAGGGACAAGACTATCAGCACACCACTTTTGAAAGTTGATTTCTTGATTAAAAATAAGACAAAATTAGACTCTGATCTTCCTAAACCCATAGGCCTTTGACAATTTGAGAGGCAAAGAGTGACCTCCCACCTACACAGCAAACAATTTGGGGCCGGACTAAATAAATATTATAATTGATAATATTCAATGATACTTGTGTAGGATAACTAATAACTTAAGCCACTTGGTGGCCTGGTTTATTTCGCTAGTACGAGATTGAGAGGGAGAGGACATAAACTTAGTTTTAATGAGGACATATCATCCCCATGTGGATAGAGAACTCTTTGATGGTATATTGGTTTGTGGCTCTCCAGGGATGTATGTATTTACTACACATGTGTCATTTAGTGTTTACAGAGGAGACTGATTGGAAATAATATCGGAGGAGACTTCATTGGAATAATGATAATGAAAAAATGTAGTATAGTAAATTACAACATAATAGCATTATTTGTTAGCTTGAACTTAAAACATCTCTCTTTTTTACATAGCTTTGCTGCTCAGTATGGTAGCCATCAACCACACATGGTTATGAGTATTTGAAATGTGTTTAGGTCAATTTAAAATACATTCTGAATTTTAAAATGAGACTAAGGCCAACACAAGAATATAGACATCGTGTCAATAATTCTTATATAGACTAGGTGTTGATATATAATATTTGTGACAGTTTGGGCCAATTAACATACATTATTAAAACTGACTCTACTTGTTTCTTTTTCTTTTGAATGTGGCTTCTAGAAAAATTAAAATTACATTATATCTCATGTAGTATAGAGGAGAGTGCAGTTATCATTCTTATTGCCAAGATTTGGCATTTCCCCCCCCACTTAAATTTCACAAACACAGGTTTTAGTTCAACTAGAGCAAAGAATTTTGAGAAGTGTAACGTTTTTCATTTCAGCTCAGATCTATTTGTAATTATAAAACAGGACTCAGTATGTTTGTACATGCGATTACTTCTACATTCAAAGAAAAGCATGCATTCTGGGTACTAGGGAAACCAGCCACCTGTGTTTCCAAATAGAATCACAGCTTTTGACCATCACCCAAACTGTACCTATTTAAACAACCATTTGAAAATAGCATTATATCCAAAGTTTTGATCCATTTGGAGTCAAGCTATTTGCCCCTGCAGCTGCAAAGCAGAGGGTATCTTCATAATCTACAATTCCCAGTGTGGATTACTATAGTGGACTTGATAAATCTTAATTCTGAAAAGCACACATTGTTACTGGCTTGGAAATGTGAGCTTTATTAGTTCTGACCCAGAGATAAATAAATTTCACATAGGCTAAAGACATACTCGTGTTTGGCTAAAGGTCTGTTGTTTGCTATGTGTGATTATGGTGCCAACATGGAAAATCAAAACCATAAACTCCCATAAGATAGACATCCATAAACTCCAGAGAAGATGGCAACTGTGTACAACTTAAACACCTCAAACAGCGGGCAGCAGGGCAGGTGGGGTTGTTTGAGGCTGCACAGCTGACCTTATACAGAATGTCCTTGGGGCCAGTGTGCTTTCTTGAGTCACAGCCACTGCTAATTAACACTCAGGGAGTTCTATGTCACCAGCTCTTGTAACAGAATGGGGAAAGCACAAGGTATCTAATGGACAGGTGCTGATGGTGCCTGAAAACTTCTGAAGCAGAACACTTTCCCTTCCTTCAGTTTGCTGGGTTTGAGTTGACTGGATACATTAATCATTTGTCTTTCTGTTATGTTCATAAATTCTATGAAACCTTTTATTCTGATTATTCTATAGAAATCAGAAATTGGGTCTACACTGTGATATATGTGTCTAGTGGAGGCTTCATTAGAAAGTGATTTAGACTGCCATAGATGAGAATTATAACATTCTTTTTATAAGCTAAAATATCACTTATAGTTTCTTTGATTTTGTGGCCCTTCAGAAAAGGAAGTAGAGGGCACAGGTTTATGTTGTTTGGTGTGGAGAACAAACGTCTACCATTCCTCTTCTGATGCTGAATTAACCACTTAGTGATTACAACTACCCTGGTTCCTCATCGGAAATATGCATCCAATAAAAAACTTATTTAAGTCAGTAGGGCCTATAAGATCTCTTGGCACTCAAATGCCAGTGACTCACTGAAACATGTGAGAAACTTCTAGATGGGAGGAACATTGCCAGTAAGACTCCAAGACAAGTTGGCACAGAAAGTAGGAACAATACATCCATTCCAACCATGCTGTTTAATAAGGCTTCTTACAAGTTCTTTAGCTATCAAGGAACCCATCTGTCTCCAGGCACTCACAGGAGAACATGTGGCATCTGAGTCACGATCCCCCCTCACTGACTGTGTTATAAGCTTGTTAAATTTCTTCATCTGGTAAATGTCATGAGTTTCCCCCCCCCCCAATCTATCTCTGTGTGCACTGTGTGTGTTAAATATATGCTCTAAATGCTCACATTTGAATAAATATCAATAAATTATCCTGTATATCCTATCGAAATCCAGGAATAAAATGCTAGACTCCAAATGGTTTATTTGCAGGTCAACATTGACCTCTCATGCTCTCACTGATTGGCATCTATGAGCGTCAATCACTTGTCAAGCTGCCATTGGGCCAAACTACAGGAACGCAAACAAAAAGGCTTGCACTAGAAGTGCCACAGCAACGTTGCTTGAGACAGGTTACCTTTTTTGCTGCCTGCTCTTCTTCTACACCATCCCCAATTACAACATACACTACTTTTCTGCCAAACCTTTGCATTATTCGTTCAAAGCAACTTTCTTTTCCTGGAAGATAAATGAGATAAAGTTCAGAGCGAAATTACCTGCTTGGCAGCATGCTCCTCATCTCGGCCATCTCCAATCACAACATAAGTTAAGTTAGTGCCAAATCTGGACACTATACGCTCAAAACAGCTTTCCTTGCCTGAAAAACAATGCATTGCTTATTCCTCTGGCCATGGTACCCATGAACCTGGGGATTCACAAAGTGTTAGATTAATTTCTCTTGAACAGTACTGGAATGAGGGTATGACATTAGGACCTCTGCATTTACAAATCAACATGAACACTTGATTAAGTTTGCTTTTAATTGTTGATTATTAAACAAACACTTTGATATTCTAAGAAAGACAGTAGGCTTGAGAATTTGACCTTGATAACATGTTAGTGTGTTTCTAACTCCACTGAAAGAGCAGTGAAACACCTTTTCTGGGCAAATAGAAGAGAAGTTTCTACAGCATTTGTTTGATTCTAAGAACCAATGTTATCTTTTGGATAGGCAAGTCAGTTGGGGAACATTGAAGTCACATCTCTAAGGAAAGAGGAAATACTAAAATATTTACCTTGATAAATGATTCCTTTCAAAAAGATTGTGAGAGCACATAGAGTCAGATTAATTATATCAAGCATGCTGTCAGAATGACTGCAGCAGTGATTGCAGCAGATTTGCTGACTGCACACTGAGGTATTGCTGTGGACATCTTGTTCATGCTTTATCTTTATAACATTGACATCTTTTCCTGAATTCCATCAAGAATGTTTGTACAGCCATCACTACTTTTGACATTTTCCTTTCTTAATCTCTAGCTCAGCATGCTAAAACAAAAATTACTAGTGACAAGGGAAAATAATAATTACTTTCTTACATTAAATTTAAGGAACAAATGGGAAGTATATCAACCTTTAAGTAAAAGAAAGGTTTAGTTGGATTAAAAACATTTGTGTTGTCAAAAAGAAAAATCATATTCTATCTGTCAATCCTATGAGTATAAAATATGTGTCTTCCTAGACACAGTATGGGACTGTAGTGTGACATGTGACATATACTTTAAGAAACTTTGCCTCTCCCTAACTGTTCTCCTCAAATGGCTGCAACCTTCATGAGAATTAGGGCTAGCTATGTTGGAAATTTTTAGGATATTTGAACTCATCAAAGCACCAGAAGATAATGTTGTTGCCCTTTGGGGCACATGGCATGAACTATTTATTCTTTTAGGAGTTTCCTCCACAGATAGTGGGAAATATATTCTGTCTTCCTTTAACTCTCTCAAGATGGCAGAACTTGAAGTTCTGTGTACTGGGGAGAAGTGCATATCCCAGACACTCATGTAATGAATGCTAAAATTACATATTCCACTTTATGAATAATTTTCACTTTTTGCTGAAATTATTTTTTGATTGATGGTGGAATTAAGATGAGACTTTCCAATGATGCCAAAATAGTATTTTTATTTTAACCTTAGATCAGTATTATTGCATATACAAAGATGTAATTCCATTTCATATTAATTGAACAATTAAACACTATGGCTGTAGCATGTATTACTAAGACAATACATGCTAGAATCCTGTTTAAAATGAGCAGAATGAGTTAGGATTGCCTAAACACCAACTTTAGCATTTTACTAGCTAAGAGTTCTCATAAAATATATACATCTGTCATGAATTACATGTGATTTTGTTATTTGAAGCATTCCCAAATTTTCTGGATATGTTAATGAAAAATTGATTAAAAGAGAATTATGCAGAAATATAACTACATCAGTGAAACACAGATGAGACTACATTTCGTACAGAATTTCAAACAGTTTCCTTACCTATTTTAGTAGCACTGTAAATGTTCTCAATGGGAAAAGCACCTCCTAGGCTGTAGAGCAGGATCTTCGCCAGAGCAGGGATCAGCTGCGTTGTCGTTACCAAGACATTTACACAGTTACTCCTATTAGGGATGAAATGCATGGATTTGCTTTCCAGTAGTAAATAACGTCTGTCAGTAAGAGTGAAAATTGCCACTGCTGTTTCTAAATTCTGTAAGAAATCTCCTCTTTCAGGACTTAACCACCAGTGTTAGCAGCCGACAGACATTCTGACACATAATTCACCAAAGAAGTTTTCCTTACATTTTTGGGGTTTGTGTATATTTCAAATATGTGTAAGTGCTAAAATATATGGATAATTCAGCAAGCTTCATCATAGCTACCTAGTCACTGGTGGTTGGCTTGTTTTACTCAGGCCTTTCTTTTCTATTTATTTATTCATTTAAGGTCATGTATTTTTGAGGTGGCTTTAAGTTAATTTATAAAAAAACATATAAATGAACTGTTGGTTAAATTCTTGGAGATATGCCCATGATTGTATGCGATTTCAAAGTTTTCTGTGTCCCACAGTTCCTGCAGGACCTGTGGCTGATGTGTCCCAGGTACAGGCATCATGATGCTGGAAGTTGCATGCTCAAGCAGCTTTGTCTGTCAGACAATTCTCGCACGCAGAATTAAATGCCCTTCCTGAGCTTTCTACACATTGATTCTGATCCTCACCTTTCTAGAGACTAAAAATCTAACCCATTTTGGACCCAACATTTCAAACACATTTGCAATGAACAATTTTGTTCCACACTTGACTCTTTTGTCAAAAGAGTCTTTGTCAAAAGATGGCAGTTTTCTCTTTTGTGCAGTTTCTACACACCAAATTCCAGGCACTACCAAAATGGACCTTGAAGATTTCATGTCTGTCAAAATTTCCATAATAATGTAACACCACTAACTGAACAGAATTCTTGTGTCTGCCCAAATCAACACAGGAAGCTAAGTGCAAGCCCCCACCACTAGGACTTTCTGTTGTTGGTGACTTTTCTGATCTTGCCACCAGGAAAGAACCACATGCCACATTTGATGCATAAATTTACTTTCATTTCCTAAATTTTCGGCTCTTCATTCACTCAGGCAAACTTTTTATGTATCTGGTATCTGTCTGGATAACATCTCTTTTTATTGCCTGGTACCCACACATTGGTTAACTGTGTATTTATTGGTTCATCTATATCAGAAATAAAACTATGGAATAAGAAAGAAAAATATTAATCTCACCCATCAGCCATGATTTCCAAAATTTATATTACTGTTGAATTATTGTTGACAGTACAAAGTTGAAAAACAACTTGAAATCTTTGTAATTTTGTTACCTTTATTAACAAGTTTATAAAAGCACTGCAAAAACAAGAGGTTGTCAAGAGCTTTTCTGTGCTTTCCTGATGAATTTAAGTGGTGCATATTATCTATTATATCTAAACCATGTGTCTTTTTACTAAAAGTCCCCTTTTAATTTTGTCATCATCCTTCGGACTTTGTTACCAACACAGCACTGATTCCTTCTCATGACAAGTTATATGATTTTCCCATGAGATTATCAGTAGTTATGACACACACACACACACACACACACACACACACACACACACACACACACACACACACACTGAAGAATCACTGGATGTGGTGAAATGCTAGGAATTGGAGCTGTTTTGCTTTGCTGTGCTGTTGGACCCAGGTCTTTCATGTAATTGAAGTAGAAGGGCCATGATCCCACTTACCTAGTACTAATAATTGATAAAGACTTAAGTGCATTTGTTAGCCAGGAATCTGTTAGGCCTTCAATCTCTGCCCTTAACTGCAGCCACGCATCCCTCTTGGCTGGGCCAAGGAGTCCTGAAATAGCAAAACACAAGGTGCAGTCAGGAGTTGAACACTGTCTCTGGAATATGGAATTTGGCATCTCTTCTTCTACGGTAAACAATTTTTTATTTTGGTTGTGTCATAAATAAAGAGGTACAGACTTATATCAACATGAATTCATTCTTTCAGAGCTTACTATTCTCTATTCATTCAATGAATTCTTACTAGACAACACTAAGGGTCACACACTTGGCTGGACACTCAGATATGACACAGGAAAGGCAGACCCCAGTTTTTTCCCTCTCTCAGAGCCTGGAATCTAACACAATAGCTGGAAGGCTCAGCAAATTCTAGGCCTGAGTCCGTTGATGAGGCTGGCGTATGTCCGTTCAGGATGAGCAGTGGGGTCCCTCCAGTCCAGGAACACAAATGTGCTGTTTAAAAATATTGTCTCTTCATAATTACAGTCTCACTTTGGAAAAGTACTGCCAGAATCAGTATGTAGCTGTTTCAATGCTTCGCAATCTAGTGTCTGCACTTAATGATATTTTGTGTTTTAAAAAGAAATTAATAACTATGTTTAAAATCCCAAGGAATACTATCCTAGTACAAGGAGTGGTGGGAAGAAAAAGTAGGCATGTTAAATTTTAGCTTACAGAGATGTTGGGATTTTCACCAGTGATAGATCACATGATTAGCATGTAAGAGGCCCCAACACTGACAGAAGGAAAAGAAGAAGGAAGAGAGGGAGGGAGGAAGGGAAGGAGAAAAAATAGAAAGAAAAGCGAAGCAGCCATGCTTTCATGATAAAACAAGATCACATAAATACCCATTCAATAGGAAGGTTTCTCACTCAAATTGTATTTCAGATACTGGGAGCAAATACACAGCACTTACAATAGAAGCTATTAAAAATTAAAACTTTTACTTTCTAGAAAGTCTCATTTTCTACATTTCACTTAAAAGATGCTGATAAGTGACAGAAAATAAACTCTTACATCATAAAGTAACTAAGATACAAGACTATATATTAATAGTCTTCTCAATTTTAAAGTAATTTTTAACAATTCTGTGTAAGATGGGGGAAAGACACACAGATAACAAATGTTTCAGACCTCTCAAATGAGTGTTTAGTTTTTATTTTTGAAGTTAAATGTGTTATTTACAATTGATTTTTACCTACAAAATCGATTTTATTTTACAACAGTGTCTTGTACAAAGCATCAGAATGATTTAGGAAATACAACCTGGAGCTGGAGCAGGGCTCAGTTATCTATTTGGAAATAAAACTCTTCCCTGTACAAAATTTATGTTGGTTCAAATGTTCACATAGTCTGCGGTTCTGCCTTATTTCTTACACTTACTGAATGTTCAAAGAGCATTTAATGTGATTCAGTGCTAGAAAATACTGGAAGCAAACACACAGCCCCCATCCTCCAGGTGAAACTGGAGGGTGCAATGTATTTTCTGTGGATAAAAATTTTACTTATTTTGTTCTATGGCATACATGTGACCATACACACATACAGAATGCATACATGTGTTTAGGAAAATCATTTTCTCCTGACTACTTTGGTTTTTGCTCCACATTTCCTTCTAAAAGAAAATCGAACAGCTTGTGGGAAGAATCACATGTGATCAACCTTGAAACTAATTTTGGGAATCTGTTGACATAAAATTGATTCTAACAATAAAAGAGGACCCATTTTCCCATATGGAGAAGTATAGCCAGGGTGGTAGTTTGAGGTTAATGGTTTAAATACTGCCTCAAATTATATGGATAACTATAATGTGATTTAGACACTGCCTACGGAGTATTAGAACTTTTAAATCCCACACTGAATATAAACAGCACTACACTGTGTGGCAAGGTACATTGTCAGATGATGTGCACATTCTAAAGAGATCAAATAGATCTGTAACACATTTTGAACTTGCACAAACCATTGTTTGTACATTCTGATAGGGGAGAGAGAGAGTCAGAGGCAGACGGAGAAGGAGGAGGAGGAGGAGGAGGAAGAGGAGGAGAGAGAGAGAGAGGAGGGAGGAAAGAGGAGGAGGAGAGAGAGAGAGAGAGAGAGAGAGAGAGAGACTGACCGACGACCGACAGACAGACAGAGATTGTCACAGCTTTCGGTTTTACAAAGGCCTCTTGGCCACCTCTTTTGTCTATTTTTCATTGATAATAATAGAGTACTAGCAATGAAGCAAAGTAAATATCCTGCTGGAATCTTGATAGAACACTAGCTTTCACACAGAAACGCTGAGTCTTTTCATAGGGGCGCATTCAATTTCCCCCAAGTAATTCAAGGAAAGCAAAAACTCGGCCTCAGTACTTTTCAATGAGAGCCTTTAGCTAATTTGTTTTTCAGTAGGCCAATGTCCACTATGAAACTACAGCTTGAATTCTACCTAGACCCAGGGTGCTGACACAGGATGGAATCGGCCGCACGTACCTCCGACATTGTTCTTGTAGGTGTTATATAATTCCTTTACTCTTCTGTAACGGAAAGCCAACTTCCTCATCCAGTCCACTCCTCCTCTCACACCTGTTGGCAAACAAAGGTTCGCACTACTTGCAGCTGCATGGAAGCCATCAGTTGCAAAACTGTAGGTACTGCATCACCCAAAATACATTAAAAAGAAATAAAAGAAATAATTACATGTGCAAAATTCCACAGCTGAATTTCTGTAGGAAATGGAAGACTGTAAGGTATAGCTTACCTTAAGTCCTGACCGTTGTCATCTGAGGAAACATCATCTATATGAACTTGATCACATTCCTAGGAGCAAAGGAGAGAGCAGATATTACCAATTTCCCAAACAAGTTTACCCGGGGACTATGGCCACAAGATGGCAGCATGGGCCCAGCCATCCCTTCATCTAATGCTTGTGTTGGAGAAATGGTTCCAGTTCCTTTTTCAGATCCAAATTCAGAAGGATCACATAAAGCAGTCTGAAAACTTGGAATGCTTTGAAAAATAAGTTTAATCTTACAATCACTTATATGAAGAGCTCTTGAATCTTTGAGATCAGTGTAACCTCTAATCTGAAAACACACTGTGCCTTGGGTCTGAACCCATCAAGTAGTCACTATTACTTATTATTTGCCTAGTGGCAGCAAAGGGGTCTTGACCTCAGAGCATGGTGTCCTGTGAGCTTTCCAAGACTTCCTGCTTTTTTTGCTAGAGTGGGGGGGTGTTATTTTACTGAAAGTCATGGTTTTCTGATACAGAGCAAAGTTAGTAGCCGTTGAAGTTGACACCCTCTCTTCATCGGACTTAAAAAGCATTTTTAAATTTCAATGAATACAAGTAAAACAGTGAAGATTTACATACCAAATGCACTACAAATACTAAGGAAAATAAACTTAGTAAGTATGCCACTTTGGATCTGATTTCAAGTTTAGAGTTTGCTTAAAGCAAACAGTGGCTTCCACATAAGAACTGGGCTCTTTGAGGTTCTAAAGGTCCTGTTCTGTGTTTAAATGATCTGCAAAGTTCCAGTGAAACATTACATGACTTAAGGTGAAATTTGCTGGTAGGATTTAAAATGCCTAGCCCTAAGAGGAATAAATCCATGATTAAGAGTTACAAATGATTACAATTCACAATAAATCAATAAGTGTGTTTATGTGTGATGTGTGTGTATTTTGCACGAGATCGAAGCTACAGTCTTGCAAATGTTATGCAAGTGTTTTACTACTGAGTTACATCCCCAGCTTTTGTGCCTCTTATATTTCCTTTAGATTGTCTTATACCCACAGATTTTGATGCTGCATGTTAGCACTTACCATTCAAAAATCAATTAAAAAATAGTCAAGCTTGAAAATATGCAAGAAAGACTCTCCATTTCAAATTTGTTATAGACCTGGAAGTATCTGTAGCCAAACACTGAATGTCCAGCCTTCAGCCTTCACAAAGAACATATTTATCCCATTTAAGTTGACTCAGATTTCTTTTCACTTACAGAACTGGGATGGTTATGTAGCAGGTAAAGAACATGCAGCTGAGCCTGAGGACCTGAGTTTGAACTCAGGAGCCCACAAAATGGAAGGAGAGAACTGATTCTTCAAGTTGTCCTCTGCCTCCCACATGCGTGTGATATAGATAACTTCATTTGCCAAGTAAAGAAAATGGATATGAACTAAATAAACAACAAAACAAGCACAAAGCTGAGTGGCAAGCTCAGTGAATAAAATTTTGAAATGCAGCTTCAAAATGTATTTGAGAAGGAGAGATGGCTCAGCATTGAAAAGCATTTGCTGCTCTCCCAGAAAACCCAGTTTAGTTCCCAGCAATCCCAGGACAGCTGACAACACCCTCTTCTGCTGTGTGTATACACATGGCACACATACATGCATGCATGCAAAATACCCTGAAAGTGTAAACAAGAATACCTTTTAAAATTTAGGTATACATTTTTAATAGTTTATAAAGTTTATATAGATTATAAGATTCATAATTTTTTAATAAATCTCCACCTGTGTTCCTAGGTAAGAGTTATTAGAGTTATTCTAACTAGAAATCATCTGAGGGTTCTTCTGGGTGAGGTAATCTTGATACACTGATTTTTAGAGGCATATCCTGGAGGCAGAAAACAATCCAGAATTTGGGGAGTGAAAAAAACTGAATGGGGAATTTAAAAATTGGAAGGAAGGGGGATATGGAATGGGAAATATGCTCAAGATACATAACATACTTGTTTGAAAATGTCCTTATGTAACTACTCATGTGCAATGAGTAGTCAACAATAAAAATAACTCCTAGTTAAAAAGCAAAATAATTGCTTCTTAAATACATGGCAGACATCTAGACAAATGACAGTAATTGGTAGGAGTGCCACAATCATTTTAAGTTCCTGACAAAAAGTTATATTGACATGACTTAATACCCCAGATGGTGAGGGTTGTGGGAAGATGTGGATGACATAAGTCAAGGGAAAAGAAAAAGAACAGAAAAGGAATTGAGGTTGCCTGAGCTATGGCTACTTCCCTTTTTTTTTGACAAAGAAGTAGTCGACGACAAGGATGCAGGCTACTCTGTAATGAAAGGAAACATTGCACCTCCAAAAAAAAAAAATAAAAACCTCAAATGCAAGTATAGCAAGCTGCTGCACTGAGCTTTAAAGTTATCTAAATAGTTAGCATGACAGCTGGAAAACCTGTTTCCTCTCCAGAATATGGAGGTACCGAAGGAGCTCAAGATGACCTAAGTATTTCTTCTTCAGACATGGTAATAGTTCTTTAAATAAATGTTAATGTGTATGAGTGTCTTGCCTGCATATGTATCTGGGTAATACATGTGTATCTGGTACCTGTTGAGTCCACAATAGGTGTTAGATCCTGCGGGAGTGGAGTTACAGATAGTTGTGAGCAACTGTCTAGGTACTGGGAGTCAGGTCCAGGTTGGATGGAAGAGCAGCCAGTGCTTTTAGCCACTAGCCATCTCTCTAGCTCAGACATTGTGACATTTTTGGGAGGACTTTAGATTGAAATAAATACCTGAAGCTCCTCACTCCGGTGAGCTGCCAAAATCTTTCTTCAAGTAAATAATATCATGTCTCTCTTATGTAATAAACTTACTTAAATCCCCCCAAATGGGCAGGGAGATTTTTGTGAGCTCCTCCAACCACCAGAAGTCATTCTTCAGTACATTTTGGTTCTAATTTTTTGAAAAGCTCCCTTGATGCTTCAAGTATTATGCTTACATGATTAATTTGTGCATAACTTGCCCCCAAATTCAATTTTTTTTTTACTCCTGAGGACAACAGTATATCAAACGTATTGGACCATGAATTCTGTATTTGAAGTTAGGTTTGAGGGTCTTCCAAATCTCACTCTCTTTAAATTTATGCTTAGTAACTCTCTGTGTTGACTCTGGACAGTTGCCCAAGGATTACAGTCCAGTGAAAGAAACTTGAATTTCAATTACTTAGATTTTTAAGGGAAAAGATAAATAATTTTTCATCAACTAGTTTTCACTGTGAGGAGCCATGCAGGAGTCATTTTAACGCAAACCTACAACACTCCCCCAAACATCCAAGTGCTTTGGTTGTGAACATAGCTTAGCAAAGACCTCAAATGTTTGAAATAATTCTGGTGTTAATCATAAATGCTTTAAATTTGTCTTATAAGGTAACCACAAAGTTGTTCCTGGTCTGTTCCAGTTATAAGCCACAGGACTCCTCACTTGCTTTCATGAACCCCAACTCCCTGGTGCTTTCTCCTCTGGAAGTTATTCTAACTGAAATAACATTTTTTTGAACAGAGAGAATTCTCTTGCTGGGGTTGGGAGTGGGCAGATTGGAATGAAGTGTTGAGTAGTCAGAATCAGATTTGGATCTTTTAAGGGAGTTTGAGAAGAACAGCTGTCACTGCCCATGGTGCACCACGTATTGAAGCATTTACTGTTTCAAACTGATGCTTGGATACCACAGAAGATCCTAAGAGATTGAATCTTCAAGAAGAAAATTTCTCACAATAAGATAAGTAACGATAATGTGTAGCTGTCTTGAGCAATTGTGTGTAGCAGCAGAAGCAGGTTTGGCTTAATTCCTGTTATGGAGCCTTTGTAAGAAGTTTGCTGACAAAAAGGTTATTGACATAAATGTAATGTTCAAAATTAGCCACACAATATAGTTCCTGCCTGTAACTTATTAGTCCAGTGCTTGTTTGTGTCACTTGGCAATGCACATTTGTGTTTCCTGGGTTCATCTACCTTTGAAAACATGCACACACCATGATCAGGTCTAGCTTTTACAGAGCAAGTGGAGCACACTTCAATAGTTGAACTGTGGGTTTAAGTCAAATAGTGGTTCTGTGGAATTCTAAAACACACCCAAAAGAGAAACATCAACACCACTATTTTCTCAGTTTAATATTGTTGTTCATGACCACAGCCAGTATTTACAAAATACCTTTAACATAAAATCTTGCATAAGATGAAAAATCTAAAAGCATAATATGTAGCCATAGCTTTTTATGCAGATTGCAATATTTACTCTAAGCATGTAAATGTATTTACATGTTTGTGTTAAGATACCCTTACATTCTCATTTTAATGTTCTGCTAAAAGGTGAGGATTTTATTTAAATTCTATTTATTATTATTGCATATATCTCTGTGCATGCACTTCTGGTTGTGTGTGTGTGTGTGTGTGTGTGTGTGTGTGTGTGTGTGTGTGTGTGCCACAGTGACTTTGTGGGGCTCAAAGGACAACTTTGTGGAGTCCATTCTCTTCTGTCACAGTGAGATCTGATTGGCACGATGACCCTAATTTGCCCTATTCTATCTTATTTTTAATATGCCACCAAAAACTGCTAGGTTCATTTATTCCATGTGTTTCTATTTAAAAAAGACAAATGAAATAAACATCATAAAACTAGGTAAAACCATATACAATTTCTCTTAGTAACTTTGAAAATATTAATCGTCTTACGATTTTCAAGCTGAGATTCACCCATACTAAGAACAGGAAAAGTAACAAATAGCTAAATAGCTATTAGTGAACTGAAAATGTCAAGTTCCTTGTAAGTTCATTTGCAGGCATCATCATAAAAGCATCGTGTATGTCCGAGAATAAGGAGCAGAGGAATTAGCTGAAGTCGGGTTTTGCAAGGGTCGTCAGCATTTCTTATTATACAAAAATGGAAAACTAGACGAAAGCTGACATTTTATAGTTGTTCATTAACAAATAAAGTTTCTTTGAACAGACATTTTATCAGTGAAAACATGGATGGAGCTGAGAAAAGAACCAATCACTTCTGACCTTGTAGCTTTCAGCACATGATTTTATGGTTCACATGGAATCATTTTTCATCTCCTGTCTCTGACCTAAAATCTTATCTAACTCACTCACTAAAATGTGGCTTTTCTTTCTATCACCATAATTTCATCAAGGTTTGGGGACAGAAGTCTGTACTCTTGTTTCAAACCTGCTTTAAAATCAGAGATCTATAATGGAGCTAGCTGGTAACCCTGGACACATACACATTCATGACATATATGTCATATATATAATATATAGTATATATTGCACTGGTGAAGCTATAGTTTGTTTTCTGACAAGTAAAATGATATACTTATTATTTAGAAGCACTGATGGCTAATGAAAAGTTCAACAAAAATATCTATAACCATATAAGAGATCATAATAAGCACCATCTCTGTTCATAATGTCACTATAGATAAAACTTTTACCTCATTGTGAAATTACAAAATTAAAATGAAAAATTAAGCATGTCAAATTGAGAAATCTCTATTTTAGCTCAATTGTATGTGTCCATGAGGTACTTTTGGTCCCATGCCCAAACTACTTCATTATTGCTTATTCTACTTTCTTCATGTCTGGTATCCCGGATTGCAAACACAGAGATTATACTGTTTATCATGGTATGTATGTAGCTACTCTGAGGCTAGATTTTCTTGTGCTCTTTTATTTTGTTGGGTTTTACTTTCTTTGTCTTTTGTTTGTCAGACCACTGTGTTGGCATTGACATTAGGAATGGAAGTCCCAAGAGAAGAAAGTACTTAATTCACTAAGAGTCATCAGCTATGCTACGTAAATAGCTCCAGCATCCTTTAATGTAGAAGGGCAGATAGTGAGAATGTAAGTATGTCCAGAGACGCTGCAATTCTCAGTGGTCCATGCTTCTGCTGGGGAGAGGATTGGTGAATATCGTCTAGTGAATAGCATAAATCATTCTGATTAGTAACCTGATATGCTGCTGCTAATGCAAAGGGGAGATACCAATGAACCAAGGGCAGATTTAGGGTTTGTCTGACCCAAGCCACAAAGGGAAACATCTATTCTTCTAAGACAGTTTTGTTCTTAGTATGTGTCTGTAAATGTGTATAATTCAAGAGAGCACAGGTTTGTTTTCTGTTCAAACTAGTTTATGCAATTTTTCCACTTCACGAGAACTTCACAATTCTCATGGGATGAGCATCCCTTTTTTCAAATTTCTTAAGGTTTTCTGCATACATGACACTATTTGAGAGTTTTTGTGTTAGCAATAATTATTCTTAGCTTTTAAAATTCTTACCTCTAAATCATTAAAAAACAAATGTGTATCAGCAAGATTAAAGATCATTTCCTCCATTCGGAGCCCGAGGGTCACAGCCATTGGGGGATCCTGAAAAAATGCATATGTAATGAGGCAAAATTTCAATAATCACAATGAGTAATAAAATATTTTAGGTACATATTGTTGGGAAAGGTAAAATATTAAGTGGATTTATAGTGAGGATTAAAACATTGTACAGAGGTGAGGGGAGGTGAAGAATTGGGAAATATCTAAAAATATGACAATGTCCTAGTGACTGATAATATAAAGTAGGGTGACTACAGTTAGCAATATTTATTGGAGTCTTCCAGATGGCCAGAATTAAGCATTTCAAATGATCTCACCCCTAAGAATGCTAAATGTTTGAAATAGAAGTATTAATTATCAACTTGATCATTACATGGTATATACATGTATTGAAATTTATGTGTACACCCAAATACAATTATGGCATTTATAATATCTATATAATTACATTTGTGTGTATAAAACAACTTATAAACTATCCACAACACAAATATCAAAAGATATAACTGGTAATTTACAGAAACTTATATGTATATATAGACTAAGAACATATTTCAATAGAAATTTATTTATGAAATCAGTATATTCATAATTGAAGCTTGAAAGCCAACAAGTTCAGATAACATCTACAAATATGCTATGTATACCTTTTGGTAAACATATTTGGATGAATGTTGAGGAACAGAGAAAGCATACTAAATATTTGAAAGAAAATTCATTTAATATTATACAGAGTAAATAGGTTATATTTAGAAATATATGTAGATACACATATGAATGCAAAAACAATTAGTGAAAAAAGAGGAAGTGAATTGAACAAAAGTGGGAGAGGTATATGGGAAGATTTGCAAAGAGGAAAGGGAGAAAGGCTGTAATTATATGATAGTCTTAAAAATGAAAAAACAAAGAAGACTGACTACAACTAAATTAGAGATGGAGGAGAATAGGTCAAGTGAATATCACAGGACTTGAGCAGAGACCCTTGCATTATGTTAGGATAGTAAAATCAGACAGAGAATGGTACAACTGTCACTTAATTATGGATTGTATTTTGATTGACAGGGTAACAGGAACCCTATTTAACTCTATTTATATTAACCCTATTTAATGTATAGTGAGCTCTAACCTTAATTTCACCAAGGTTGCAAGAAGTGGAGAGTAAAAGAATATTCATTTGCTACACATAACCTGTGTAGAAAATGCAATATTTAGAGTAGTGGTTCTCAACCTTGGGTTTCAACCCCCTTTTAGGGCCAAATATCAGGTATCATGCATATTATGTATTTACATTACGACTTATAACAGTAGCAAAATTACAGTAGTAATTATAGTAGTAACAAAATAATTTTATGGTTGGGATTACCACAACATGAGGAACTATATCAAAGGGTCCAGCATTAGGAAAGTTGAGAACCACTAGGTTAGAAGGGTAGGGAATTGAAGAGATTGGTGAGAAGTCAAAGTGATTCTATGCTTACTTACAGTGACCAATACCTTAAATAGTGAATAGCAAAGACTTGGGAATCAGAAACTGGGTTGTTACTTTACCATGACCACCTGCAGCTTAACTCCCAGCACCAGGAGATTTTGAGACTTTAAGGAGAGTTTAGGGACTGGTGAGCCATCCTTCACATGTTTGTCTTGAAATGATCAAAGGTGAAACAAATCTAAAGAACTTCTACAGGTGTGATGATGAGATGCAGAAAGTAGAAAAGCAGGAAGGGGTGATTGCTTTGAATTGAAGGCTAGCTGGATATTTCAGAGCGAAGACAATGATTTTGGTTTTGGCTACCTGAAGTCCTCAGAGTATGATTTGGGTTGAGTGGCTGGGCCATGAACAGACTGCAGGGATTTGAGAGACAAGATATCTGAAATTTGGTTCTCGACACTCTAATAAGTGGCATTTTAAGAAATGTACTAAACCTGGGGAGAGGTATAGATAGCTTTACTTCAATTGCCGATAAGAACCTCCCATCCAGGGCAGGCCCAATGACATTCAATCATCCCTCCAACTGCCTCCATTTGCCAGTAGACGCTCCTCCACGGCATCACTCAGCTTTCTTCCTACATCTACGTCCATAGTGCTTTGTGAAGGAAACATACTTCAAGTATTTCTCCCATATTCTGTAGCCTTGGAAATGTGGAGAATGGGAGGGTCAGATTAATAAATATGCATCAAATGCTAATGGGATTTGGAGGTATATAAAATGAACTTAAGGCTTGATATGGGAGAAGATGAGGCTAAGACAGGAATCGTGTGAGATTCCACCATACTTTATTATTTTTGTTTTCTCAGCAGGCATTTTTATGGATCTTTTAAACATTATTGACAAAATCCTGTGTAGACGCTCATATCCTGGGTCATGTCCTTTTGTGACTTAGACTTGGACTCTACTGCCACATTGATCTGCTAACAGTTGACAGCTTACCTGGATCAATATATTCAAATATACCCAAATCAAAAATACGGATGATGAAGGTATGGACAGGGTTGTATGAATACTCTGATATACATTATACATACGGGTTCTGGAAAGATCAATGTGTCTACAATAGAACTCAACACAAGGCAAAGATAAAATTGTTTTCTCTAACAAGTACTCATTCAAAAATAAAGAAAATATAGTTGTGTATCCAAAGCTTTTATTTTATTTTATTTTATTTTAGCTCAGGGTATTTTGGAACTCAGAAGGACCCCTGACTGACTGTGTTTCCTTCCATTATAAGACACCCTTTTGTTGTTCATATCCTTTATTGTTATTGAGAGAACTCTCTGAAGCTTGAATAATTTTTAAGTACACATTTTGTCTTTTTCTGTTATAAACCTCTCTTGCTAATCCTCTCTTTTGGAAGGAACAGAGAGGGGGGGGGTCTTAATTGGGACAAGGTTATAGAAGACTTCTAAATATTCTGCAAAGTCATGGACCCGTGAACAAAAAGTCTACAGAAATATCAGGAAAATCAAATGTAATTACAGCATGAAAACATATAATTCCATTAGTGACGCTCCCTGCTTTTGAGGAATGTCCGTGATGCAAGACAGTAGAAGGGAGCCTCTCTGAGCTCTGATGATTTCTGCACTAAAGATATCCATTTCAGATGGGGGTACACAAATATCTTGCTTCTTAAGGTTTTTCTGTTGGGGGCTAGGTTAGTGAAACTTTTATCCCAACTGGTATTTCTTTTCCTTTTCAAGTTTCCAATAAAATTACTGGCTATCTCATGTTCATTCCTTACATTCTTTGCATCTGCAGATCTATTGCAAGGAAGAAGGGAGAAAACCCAGTGGCCCCGAGATTGTTACTTTGATTGATAACATGCTTTCAAACTGCATCCCTCTTGGTGCTATCCAACAATGATAGAAAACCCCACAAAGAATGCATTTTCTGTGCGTCTGATAAGCATGCAAACAAATACATGCAACAAAACAAAACAAAACAAAACAATCCCCCTCAAAAAAAAAAAAAAAAAAAAAAAACAAAAAAAAAAAAAAAAAAAAAAAAAACCCCCCCAAAAAAAAAAAAAAAAAAAAAAAAGACCAAACCCTCATGGTTCTTCCAGTAAGCAGGCACAGCATATGGTGAGATGAAAGCTGTGTTTGAGTACACCATTGGAATGCAACCCCATGGCTCTGGGAGGGCTAATCACTTGTTTTACAAACTGTGGTGTTTTGTACATCACATACCCCACCACAGTCAGCGCTCCATAAGCATTCTGACAAAAATCCCCATTTCTTAACTGGGTAAGTTTAGATTTGACTTTTGTCAGAGTGTGAACTGGTTAATTTTTACAAAGGTTTGCAGAGAACAAGCCCATTGAAAGAGAAGTGTTTGTTTGGTCATCTATGCCACAAGCCAAGGAAAACCAAGTTAAGAGGTGGTGATCTTAACTGGGGAAAGCTTCTTCTCAAATATATAATTTTATCCCCCTCTTCAGTCTAAGTAAGTCACTGGGACAGCAAATTTTAAAGAAACCAGTTACAGCATCACAATTTTTCCAATTGAATGACTTACAAATCGCAGATTCCAAAATGGAAGACTGTGCGTCTGGTGGGCAAAACCTTCCCAGAGCCTGGCCATCGTGGGCACCCGTGACTGGGAAGGAGCCAACGGCGGTTGCAGTTGTACTGTTTTATCAAGCATTTGAGAGTGAGACAGACTTCTGGAGCGAACCCAAGTTTTGTATTAAAATGCTTACTCATTTTCATAGATGTTTACAGGGTTCCTTATGAATCTGGATCTGCTGCATTTTTTCCCACTTAGCTGTAATGAGTGTTGAGTTTAGAATTGAAAACAAAGTGATGGCAAAAACTTGGACAGGGTGAAAAGGAGAGAAAAACAAAGACACAGATGGGGTTGTAGGAAAGTTCTGATACATATTACACATATAAGACTTCTGAAAGTTTGAGCGTGTCTCCAACAGAGTTCAACATGGGGCAATTGGAACTTCTGCCAATTTATGCTGAACGCGGCTCTATCAAAACACTGAAATGATTCCCAAGACACTTCATTGGAAAGAGTGAAAGGGAAGGAAAAAGGGGAGAGAGAGAAAGAGAGAGAGAGGAAGAGGAAGGAAAAGAAGATGAAATAAATAGCACGTGACCCTGAAATCTGTGCTCTAATCCAGATGTTACCAGTGTATACACCCAAGTTAGGAGCAAGGGGAGCACTTCTCTAAATCAAAATACTAATGCCTATTAACCATGTTAGCACAGAACATAAATTGGAGCCAGACTGTCTGTCTGTGGGTCTCTGCCCTGCATTGGGCCATCAGCTGCAATTCCTCCTCTAGGGAAACACTGTAAAAATATCTCAGGAGAGGCAGCAATTTTGTATTTAAAAAAAAAATTGGAGGAGGACTGTTTTTCTTTTAAGATCCTGGGATCTTGGATCAGTTATTCCCATGGGACCTAAAGCACATTTGTAGATTCTTACACAAGGGACAGAAGATGCCTGAACACTTAAAAGGAAGATAAGTGAGCTCCATGAGCCAAGGTGGAACTTGTTCCTGGGTTCCCTATATGCAAGGACTCTTCTAATTAG